TCTGTCACCCAGTAACTGGTATCCGAGCCTTTATTTGTGGTAATCAGATCGTATATTTTCAACAGGATCTATGTCTTTTCACATTATAACAATATACTATTTGAAACTATCATGAACCCTAGGTATAATCGAAATAAATGGATTGGAATACATACCTTTGTGTTATAGTTGTATATAACACTTCAGAATCCTCATATCTGCTTCATATAGATAACACCGAAATTATGGTTGCTTCTAATGACTCACACCAAAAACCTTCGAAACCCTAAAAATCAAGAGGAGAGAGGAGGGATGAGGAGAAATTCGTTCCCCACCTTATGAGAGGTAAGAGCCACGAAATTTAGGAGCCAAAAGATCCTATTTATAGCTAAAGGATCACATGGATAAACCATGATTTGAATAATTCAATATTAGATTTAATCTATTCAAGACAGTTATCCTTATCAGCTGTAGGAGGCTTCCAAAAACTCTAGAAACCCCTCCAAAACCATCCAAGCCTATGGAGGGTTCTAAAATTGCCTTCATTGCTTAAGTATGAACAATTACAATTCAACTCTTTCACTTTTAATTATTTTTAATTAATCCCGAATTAATTTCAGATTAATTTTGATTAATAATTAATTAATTCTAACCATTTCTTATTAATTTCTAATTAATTTCTTAATCATATAATAAATTAATAAATTATTTCCTCACTCTCCTAATATCATTTATAGCTATTTTTGGTTATAAGGGCAACCCAAAAAGGAATTTGCTTTTATTCCATAAAGTTCTATCAATTTAGTTATGATCTTTGACCAATTTAGTTATGACCTTGGACACCTATTCCAACAAAGTGAAAAACGATCATTTTCTGAGTTTTGAAGAATGAAATGAGAATGAGTGGAAAACTGACATGACACAAAAAAGTGAAATGTGAAAGATGGCTACACCCTTAGGTCTACGAAAACATAATATTCAAAATGTATTTTTATGTCATTTTATATATTTCAAGTTGCTTATCAACCACTTTTTAGCAAATATCATTTTTATCAACCAACTTATAAGCTAACATTTATCTTTTTAACGAGCTTTTCATATAACAACTAACTTTTCAGCTAACATCATGCTTTTTAGTTAGTAAACATAGCCTTAATGTGTGTGTGTGTGTGTGTGTGTGTGTGTGTGTGTGTGTGTGTGTGTGTGTATATATATATATATATAT